CCTTGAAAAGCACTATATAAATCCAATCCATTATTATTACAGGAATGCAAAGTCCATTCCTGTATGCAAAGTCCCTCCGCCACAAAGTGCCAGACAGAGTGGAGTCGCCAAGGTGCGTAGTGTAAAAGTCCCCAAATTTTGCTTATCAATAATAACTCTTAATCATCATAAGAATTCTTCTTTTATTAACATCTTCGTGAAAACTGTTGAGGTGGGTTTCTATGTCATAAGCAGTTCCCGTGGGAATAATGTTTAGGTGGACCAGAACGTTTGTCCCTATATATTTCACTTTTCAGTTTTATCCCTGGAACTTTGCATACAGGAATGCAAAGTCCATTCCTGTATGCAAAGTCAGGAATGCAAAGTCCATTCCTGTATGCAAAGTCCATTCTAGGATGGACTTTGCATTTCTTCCCTTGTGCTGACCAAGTGAACAAAGAATTCAATATTCACTCTTGTCACTCCTTTTTTTTTTTAATGATTTTGACTGTAATTGACCAAGAACATTATTTTAGTTAAAAAATAATAATAACAATATGGTAAATGTAAAACATATAAATTGTATTAATTTACTGTATAAAAAATAGTGTTTTGCAAAAGTCTTGAACCACAGCTCACTTCTTTAAAGGGATATTTACTGAAATAAGTTCAAACAGACAGTATACTTATTATTAATAGAAATAGAATTGAATGTGCCTTGAGGGAACTGTTGTTGTGACAATTCACTTTATAAATAAAAATGAACTGAACTGAAATATATAACTAAACCATGTTTGATAGCGTTCCATACTGTAAAAGTAAAAGAATACAGGCTCTGAACTGTACTCAAAGTATGAAAGTAAAAATAATCTCCTTAAAGCACAATTCAACTAATCATATTTGTACAAAGGTAACTGAACCTTCGTATATTATTTTAATATAAGAATAAAATACTATTAGTACATGATGATAAAAATATGATAAAAACTCTACGCTATTGGATCAAGGTACTTTGTTGCATTTTTATGAATCTACAAAAATCAGATTTCACTAAATAAACTGTTGAATTAACTTATCACAGAAAGGTGACCTAACCACTACAGGATATAGACAAAAGAAAAGAAAACCACAATCATCAGACCTTGAGTCCCACAAACAGGTTTGTCTGCTCTTTCTTCTATCTGTGCCTCAAAACCAGAGAATGTTTGAGAATATGAATCAAAAGCATGCAAACATTATTATATTATTTTTAATCAGCTGTTTGAAGACGTCAGTAGTTTTGTCAAATACACCACAGGATTTCAGAAAAAAAGAGTATTTGCATAGAAAAAGTCAAGAAAATCTCCATGTACGTTGTAATATTTTAAACATTTAAACATCTCTTGAAAGAACCCAAGGATCATGATGAAGATGAAGATGATGATGGAGAAGAGGATGATGATGATATGGATGAAGATAATGAGCCTGACACTAAGAAAAACGAAGATGAAGATGCTACACCGATTTATATCTCTTCTGAAGAAGAAGAAAGCGAGGAAGATCTTGATGAAGATGAAGATGAGGATATGGATGAAGATGATGTTGGTGACGATCAGCGTAGCACTGAGGAAGATGAGGATGAAGAAGATGATAATGATGAGGAAGAGACTGTGCCTGCTGTTCCCTCTAACCATACTGACAGCAGTAGTACCAAAGGTGACATTTCCAATATATTTCCTATTGGTATGTTTGGATAACAAAGACCTTGTTTGTGTATGAAAATAACTCTTCCTCTTTTTGCAGACAGAGTAACAAGTGCAATTCCAACACCTGGAAAACATGCATTACAGATGAAAGAGGTAAAGGGTATCATTAACATCCCTCCTGAGGCAAGACAAATTATTTTATTTAAATGTTTCACTGTACTTTGCATTGCTGGAACTTTTGAGTATGTTAATCATCTTAGAGTACTCTGCTTTACAACAGCACCGTCATCAAGATAGAAATTTGGCAAATATTATGGTTCAGCATGACAAATTACAAATGTATGCTTTTACAACATCCAGTCCGACTATTTAAAATAAATACAAATATATTCTTTGTTGTCTTTAAAACAGAAGACTAGACATCGTCCTGACATGCCAAGGTCTGAAGTCAGTGGAAATAACAGAGATGTGGCAACAAACACAGCAATCAAACAGCTGAATGTTAAGCAAGAACCCAAAGAGAAACTGAGTGAGTTGTTCAAATACTAAAAGCACTTTAAGGTTGTATTCAACTTCTATGTAGTTTTTTGCTTTTTTTGTTGTTGAAGTAGAAGAAAAACACTTTCAATCTATTTTCTAAGTTCACAGGTTCGTCCTTCTTTAACCTCTGATTATGTGAGATGAGTGTGGGTGTACAGTTAATTTGGCTCAGTTCTGAAATGATAATTGAAGTTCTCCAAACAATGAGTGAAATCCTTCTACAGGCTTGTGCTAAAATTAGGAGCCTTTTTATTTTATGTAAGCATTTACAGATATGTTAGCACATATGTGCACACAGCTAACTAGTAGTTTTGTTTGCAGCTTGAATAAATATTATTTCCGCATGTCTTTGTGATCAAAACAGGTCGGGTGTGTTCTGTAATGAATAGTTGTACTTTCCAAAAGACACTAAACGGCCATTTTATTGCGTATACCTGTCCAACTGCTCATTAATGCAAAAATCTAATCAGCCAATCACATGACAGCAACTCAATAAAGACATGGAGACATGGTCAAGATGATCTGCTGAAGTTCAGACTGAACATCAACATCAAACTAATTCTAATAATTCCAAAGTGTGTATGCTCATATTTTAATCATCCTTCTTTTTTCAGAGAAGACAACAACAAGCACAATTTTGACACCTGTGAAACCTGCACTGAAGATCGAAGTAAAGGGTGTCGTTAATAGCCTTCCTGAGGTAAGACTGTTTATTTAAGAAAATTGTGTTGTTTCAATTACTTCAAAAATAAATATTTTGATAAATAACTAACTAAATGTATTTCCCTTCTAAAAACAAAAAAACCTCAAATGTAACATTTGTGAAGTTATCATAGGACATTCACATCAGTTCATTTCACATTAAAATTTAAATCGTAGTAAACTATTATGGTTCAGCGGTTGCTCAGATGAAAAAACTTTCCCTCAGTTTATTTGAAACCTACACATACTCCTTTAATGTGGATGTATCTTATTCCATGGATATGGAGAGAAATATGCATAGGCTACTGTGTAGTAAGCTGTATTAAGATCCAGCGTAAAACTGGGACATCACGACATCTCCTTGCTTTTTCTATTTGTATTTCTCTCGACATCACCGACTTTTTCTTTTGTTTTTCTCAAATAAATTGGAAGTCTTTTTTCTAAATAGCTCTTGACCACTTTACTAGAAAATGCAGATTTACCAATTAGAGAATTGTCAATTCCATATTACCTGGATTATATTTATATTAAAAAATATACAACGATTGTCCAAGACAAGCATATGTTTACTCCAGAAGATGATCCAAAGTGATGTACAGCCATTGTGTTCCCCATATGCGGCTGAGCACTGACTGACTTTTCCCAGCAGAAGATCCTCCAGCATGTAGCATCAGATTATTTAAACCATATATTAACCTTTATGGGCTACTGTGTACTGTCTCTAATTGGTAAATCACATTTTCTGCTATATTTAGAAAAGGCGACCACTTTATTTAAATAAATTTATAGATAAAATGCAGATATACCGAGGAAAGTCAGATGTCCCAGTTTAACACTGGGACATGAACGCATCTTAAGTTTGCGGATATCTGTGAAGCGGGCAGTGTGAAATGCGTCTCAAAATTATACACATTTGTAAATCATATCGTACGTGCACTTGCAACCGTTTCGAGGTTTCTCTCCATATATAAATAGCGACTGTAAATGTCAGTCTAAATCGTCTTACCTGTAAAACCTGCCGTCATTGCCGGAAGTCAGTGTTTGGGCACACACATAACTGGGGGGTGGGGTTTTTTTTTTCAGTGTAACTGAAAAGTAAAGTTTTATTTTCCTGTTCTGGAACATCATCTGCTATCTAGTCGGCGACAGAGGTAAGTCCCTATTCTGGAGTTTCACATCTCTGTTTTTTTTTTTTTTTTTTTTTTTTTTTGTAAACAAGTGGGGTTTTATACATGGCCACAAGGTGTCGCACGGTGTGGAGTCGCCGAGGTGCATAGTGCGTAAAAGTGGCCAAATTTTGCTTATCAGTAATAGAGTGAGCATCCTCTGGTATTAACATCTTGATAAAACTGTTGACGTGGGTTTCTATGTCATGAGCAGCTCCTGTAGGAATAATGAGTAGGTGGACCAGAACTTTTGTCCCTATAGTGTATTTCACTTTTTACTTTTATTGTATTTACATTATGTAAAGTGTTTAGTGTGTTGACAGCAGTTCGTGTCAGGTCTTCAGATTTAAATTTGCAAGAGAAAAACAAGAGGTGTGCTTCGACTTTGAAGCATTGCGAGTAATATATCAATCATGTCTGTGACAGATGGATATAACTGTTCTAAAGAAGTTAGACAAAACAAAAACAACATTTTCATACAAATTTGCCCAGCCATATTGACAAAATGTGAAATAAATAAAGGAGAGTTACAGTGTTGTGCAAAAGTCTTGAGCCAGGACACGTCATGCGGAGATATGTCAAGTTTTCAGCTAATAGCTCTTTGGACATCAGTTGGTTTACAATAAAAAAGAAAATTCCTGTCAAACTGTGTTATCTGTGGCATTTTTCAGAGATTCCACTAAAGAAATTGGAAGAAATTGTATGTTTTTGTGACAGGCTGCTAGTAACAAAGTACCTAAAGATACAATTTAATACTGGTTCCTTGCTAAGTTATTTGTTATATATACAGTGTTATTTAGACAACAATGTATATATAAGTCCCTCGAGTTAGGTGTGTTTTTAATGCTTGAATGATTCATAGGTCAGTGTTAAGGGGCCTAACAATCTAAAAGAAACATCCCTCTGAAATATTCAGGCACAAGGATGGCACTGAAACCAACTGAGAAAGCAGCTAATCCAAGCTGATGTGTTCTTTAAGTTAATTCGCAATTATATTGCACTAAGGAATTAAAATAAAGTCGGATATGTTAAAAAGTAATGGAAGATTACATTTTAATATATATAAAATTTACAAAATATTTTAAAAAGTCAATGGTGTTGTGCATCTTTTTGAAAAACAGAAGACATATCTATCTGTCATCTCTCTGATTAATTGACTGATTTGAAAGTTACAATGAGTTTTGTCAAATGAAGTCTAAACTGAAATAAAACAAGACATGAAAACCGTGTCGTCAGACCACAATGACAAATCCTCAAAATGTTAATACTGAGAACTGTTTTCAGGACCAAACTATTAGTATCGGTATGAGCTGAACTCGAGATCTGTGCGGTGGTCAGCAAACATTTTTCGTCTCTCGCACAACAAAAGACGAACAAAGAATTCAGTATTCAGTTGTACTATTTCTTTTTATGATCATGTCGCTCGGGTAAGGGCTCACACATGTTGTTTCGGGTGGGAAGACCTTTTGACACAAATCAATGATTACCCTGAAATCTGTTTAGGAAGACTATATTTTCAGTTTTGAAAAATAAATGGAGAGGAAAAGATCTGTGGAAGAGGAAGACCAAGAAGACTGTAGATTAAGGAAAAGATGGAAGGCTGAATACGATGAACCTTCTGATGGTGAAGATGAGGAGGAGGAAGAGGAGGAGAATCGAAAAACCTGGAAGACAGAAGGGATACGTAAGTCCTTAGTTGAATATGTTTCTCTAATTTTATGGCATAAATACACATTCATAATATTTTATTATGGAGACATTGTTATTATTATAGTTGTTGTAATGTTTTTCCCAAAATTTAGAGTTTTTGCCTGTAATCTGTGGAACCACAGAGGGCGTCCTCGACTGTGAGAAGCTGGAACAAAGTAAGCAAATACAATTATCTGAGAAGCATAAGCACATTTCAATGAAGCCATTAAACAAGAAAACACTTTATACTGTTTGAAACTGTGCCCACAAATAAAAATCATGTATATAAAAAATGGAACTTGACTTCAATGATCTGTAGTCATCAGTTTCTCTCCAGCTGAATGAATGCATGAATGCATGAATGGTTCACTGGTGATTCTGAATTGCCTTCCCCCCATCCCATGACAGCTGTGAAACATTATTGCTCTCCATCAGTCATTTGGGAAAAGTAAATACAAACCTACATTAAAATAATACAAATAATAATCTCTAAACCTTAGACTGGATTGCAGATCAGGTGCGAATATTTAGAACATCTTTAAAGATTGACAAGAAAATAAAGAGAAAGCATGTTCCTTGTGCTGTTCAAATATACAATTTTAAACAATGTGCACTGTTTTAAAGAGGATCAAATGTTAACTTGTCAAAAGTTAGCTTTACTTTTTTAAGTGTTCTTTTCTAATTTAATTTGAATTTTCCTGTGTGTTTGGATGATCAATTTAGGTAAGGCGTGTATTAAGTATGAAGGCAAATGGTATGATCCACCTAACTTTGAGATACATGCAGGGAAAGGATTGTGTAAAAAATGGAAATCAACAATTCTCTACGAGAATCAGCCTCTGGAGTATTGGATTAAGGTACTTTTTTCCCAATTCTGTTAATCAAAGAAAATCAGATTTCACTAAATAAACTGTCAAACTAACGTTTCACAGAAAGGTTACCTAAAAACCGAGGGATACAGAAAAGGAAGATCCAAGACTAGAAAGGTATCTGAGCATGAGAGCACTGTAATTCTGATTTTCAAAAATTAATTAAAACAACACTGAGAATGATAATTAAAGGTCATTTTTCCTGAACCTTGAATCAAAAGGAAATACAATCATCCAGCTCTGAAGAAACTGAAGATGATAATGCTGAAGGTAACAGTGAGGAAATGCTCGTGGAAACAGAGCAGAGAGAGTAGAAGCTGAAAATGCTGGGAGTGAAGAAGATGAAGAGAAACAGGCAGAGGGAGAAATAGAAGATGAGACTGTGTCTGCTGTTGCCCCATGCTGACAAAAGTGTTATTAATTAAATGATGTTATTTCCTATTGGCATGTAACTATCCGAACAAAAAGTGTCTGTGTATGAAAATCACTCTTCTTTTTTCATTTCACATTCGAAAGAAGGGACTGCTCTCCCAGCTAGAGATTGACGAGGTACAACACAAATGCTACGGCAAGGAGGAGTCAGGACGCCAGGTCAGGGGGGAGTTATCATCACGCCCACCCGAGATTGGGTACATAGCCCCAAGTGCGATAGGAGAAGGATCATTGAGTGCGAGAGGAACTGACCTGAAAAATAGGATAATGGCCAAGCTTGAAACCTG